GCCAATATTACATCACTGCGATCTTTCTAGATGTAACCGAAACTCTTGCATGGAAGCTTTGCAGGCGTTTTATAGAAAAACCTCGTTCCCTTGGAACTTAGAAATCGCATTCTGCTTGTGCAAGTAAGCGCTTCCGTAACTTTAAAACACTCTTTTATGTAATATTACATTTTACAGGAAAACTGACAATAAACAAGATACATGTATGCTGGCACAGCAAAGATTACACCCCGTTTGTGCACAAAGAATTGAAGGGTCTCCTCAACCTACTTGCCTTTCAGTGGCCGAAGTATGTCGCGAAGATAAAGAGTGCAGGTTTGTTATCTCTAAAATAAAACGAATCGAGTGTTACAATTTTGTATATAGATCTAGATTGGAGTACTACGAGCAGTCTTGCGCCGTAGACAGTGTCACGAAAAAATGTGCAGGACCCCCATCGGAGTGCAGGGCTGCAATGTTGGGCATACTGGGAACAGACTTGCGAACAACTTGCGCTTGCAAAGGAACAGATATGACCCAATTATATGAGTGCTTAGGCTGGCAAAGGCTCCTCTGGGTTAATCCCTGCGTAGGTGAGTGCTCACAATTCCATTATAAACAAAAATAATGAAACACATTCTATGTGCCGCGTATACGTAAAACGGGTTACCTTGTCAACCCAAGCGGAGATAAAACTCTTTACAACTCGAGCAGTCTCAAGTTGTACGCCAAACGTTTTAATTAATTATTAATTAAACGGATGCACGCCCAAATTAATCATACTTCTAGATACCCTTTCACTACACGGCTTGCTTTTGTGTACATTTTTCACAGTGGAAATTCATATTCGCGCCTAAATGAAATGGAACATGTAAGGGGTGGTTTAACATATTTATTTCTTTTATTTATTCGCTGCATGTCTTTCTGAGCAACCATATTAGTTTTACAAAATGATCTAAAGAACACTCGTACTGTAATGATTTATCTTTATTTAAATATAATAATAAAGCTACATTTTGATGATATCAACAGGTTCGACTCTAGTCTTCCGACTTGTAGCTACTAACTAATCATAAGCAATAATCCTTCCTGTATGCAACTATTCAATATTATTCCGTTGAACTCTTTAGGTTCACAGTACAGACAGGAAGTGTGACATAGAAAATAAGCATATTAATTTTGGGTTACCACCACACGCTCTTCGTTAAAGAAAATAGTATTTTCATGGTGCACAATGGAAATTCTATTTTACTACTTCATTAAAATTCTATACTAATACAATTTATTCAGTTACAGTAATTGCACTATTCTAATTACTACATAATGTTACATTGTACCTACTTATCTAAGAATAAAATGGTTTTGTTCTATTTTTATGAACAAGTAATTCCTTGCCGTTTTTTTATAATTTTAACATTCGGCTCCTTTTCACTTACCACCACATACGGGCCATCGTAAATGACAGATAACTTATTCCCTACTTCACTTTTAACTAATAATTTGTCCCCTGGTTCATAACTAATTGGCTTAATCTTTAAATGATACGTTTGTTTACGTAGTGTCTTACTTAAAATTAAATTTTCACGTGCGTCAGCTTACGCTTTCTGCAGTCTATACTTAAATTCTAAAGGGTAGTTCATAGTTATACAAAGGTTCAATCTCACTCAAGTTATTTGGTATAGCGCACACTTTCCCGAATACAAGTACGAACGGAGTATATCGCGTTTCACTTATTATACGAAAAACAATAATAAGGTATCCACGAACTCCAAGCAGTTTTTTTGATTTTGAGTTTGAATCCTTAAGTAAGCATTTAATACTTTATGCGAATTTTCCATTGCGCCTATGCTTTCATGATGATACGCAGTTGAATTAACTTTATTAGTTTGCAAAAAAGCTTGCATATTTCCGTCATTGTAGTTGAAATAAATTCTGACCCTTGATCGATTGCAATTTCTTTGGGAATTCCGTATCTAAGAATAAAGTTTTCAACGAAACTCCTAGCTACAGCATGTTTAGACTTTAATGGATACGCTTCTGCGAATTTTGACAATTCACATTGCAAAGTTAAAATGTCAACAAAATCATGTTCGTCTTTGTCAAGAGGTTCTATATTTAAATAAATCTTTGCAAAAGCTGAATTTGCGGTACTGATTATAGTCATTGGTACTTTAGTATGTTTACTGTGTTTTCGTGCATTTTTTAACAAAATCGCTCACATCCTTACTAAGACCTGGCCAAAAGTAATATTTTTGTATATTATTTTTCATTCGCTGCACTCCAGCATGTCCACTTGTAGGAAGTAAATGAAAATCGTTTAATATGCATTTTTTTGTATCGTTATTTATGATTCTAAGTCCACCCCTAATTATACGTATGAGATAATAATATGATAATACGTGGTAATGCGTCCGCACTTACATGATTACTTCCTTTTATGTACCTATTCAATCCGAAAATCAAATTTCTCAAGTTGTAATCTAAATTTTGCCAAACGACTATATGGACTAGTATGAGTAAATAAGTAAATTAACGGGTTTGTGATCTGTCAAAATTTTAAATTTTCTTCCAAACAAATAAGGTCTAAAATACTTTATAGCCCACACAACAGCTAATAATTCTTTTTCTGTCGTAGGGTACAATATTCCACTTTTATTGAGAGGACGGCTAATGTGCTTACAATAATGAAAAACTCATTGGACCACTCAAAATGAGAATACTTTCGACATAATTTGTTTTTTTTACTTCGTTTGAATTCTTTGGAATGGGATATTCCTGTAGTGTTTTAATTTTTGCTGGATCGGGTAAAATACCATTTGCGGATATAACGTGACCTAATTATATTTCTTTTCTTAGAAAATTGCATTTTGAAAGATTTAATTTTAAATTAACATTCCTAAGTCTATCTAACACTTTAAGTAAATTTTTATTATGATCTTGTAAATTTCTACCAAAAATTATTAAATCGTCTAAATATACAAAACATCGCTCATAATTTATTTAACCCCGACATTGCTACAGTCATTAATCTAGAAAATGAGCTTTTCATTTTTCATTTGGTACTGACCTTCGTTTGTGGAAAAAGCAGTACAAGGCCTACTCTACTCTCTGATATATGTGAGGAAGTTCTGGTTTTAACTCTAGGTACTTGATAATAACTTTGACTCAAATCTAATGTAGAAAAGTATAACGAACCTGAAAGTGATTCTATGATTTCGGTAATGTTCCCTAATGGAAATTTGTCGTCCTTAATTTGCTTGTTAAGCAAGCGATAATCTATTACAAGTCTCCACTTCCTTTCACCATTGCTGTCTAATTTTTTAGGTACTAGCAAAACTGGCGATGAAAATTCACTTTTAGCCTTTTCTATTATATCATTGTCGAGCATTTTACAAATTTGTTTATTCAACTCAGCTTTTTGCGAATATGGAACACGGTAAGGTTTTACGTATATTGGCGTCGAATTGTCTTTTAAATGTATTGATTGTTGATATAAATTGGTTACTGAAAGTTTGTCTTCCGGCGAATGAAAAACATCACTGTATTTTGCACAAATCTGTTCAATGATCGTTTGCTCTTCCAAATTTAAACCGTTTAAATTTAAAAGACTGAATAATTTCTTAACTCTACTGGCAGTGATTTCACTTGGATGAATTTGACAGGCAACATATAAATGATTGTATTTTCGGTGTAATATTTTTTAACCTTACTTGTTTCTCTTGTGTTTAAAATTTTTATGGGTAGTTTACCATTTTCTGGTCTCACTATTGTTGCTGCTAAATAAACACCCTCACATAACTCTTGTGAATTTACTACGAAATCTCCTACAATCTCATTGTCGAATTTTAAATATTGAATACTTTCGCATCGAGGAGGTATAATACAGACGTTTTGGTCATTTTCCCTATGTAACGAAATTGAAATCTCCTGATGATTATTTACTAAACTTAAATTACTATTTTCAAAATTAATTTGTGCCAAATATTTTTTCAAGAAATTTTACCCCAAAATTCCGTCAGTTGAACATGGTAAGCGTTTAAATACATAGAATTTTTGTTCAAAATATACATTATTAACTTTCAATCTTAAATTAACAAAACCTTCAGCGGTCAAATTTCCTCCAATACCTTTAACAGTTAAGTACGTTTGAATTTAAGCAATTTACTTTTATTGCACATAGGATTGCACCCGTGTCAACTAAGAATTTACGTTTTTCGCCAAATAAGTGCATTCCAATTCAGTGTATTAAATGAGTATATTATTTCGTTATTGGTCTCGAAAAAACTGACTGGTACTTTGAGTATTTTGTGAATTTGTATTAAGTGCTGTTGTCGCACTTTCCGTATTTGTTTCTTCTGCAAAATAGGAATAATTCTTTCCAGCTCGTCCTTGATGATAACTGAAACCTCGACCTCTGGTTACACGACCCACATTATTACCTCTTCCGCGTGAGTAATTTTTCTCGGCATTTTTATTATTGTATTCAGAGTTATTTTTATAGAACTGATGGTTATTTTGATTGTTTCTAAACTGTGAATTCGTAAAAGTATTGTAATTGTTTGTATTCCTCCCATTATTGAAGGATTTATAAGGATAACGTTGGTTACCTCGCTCGACGTTGTGAATAAGACATTACCTATTTGAAAGGCTTGGTTATTGTGGGATACACTCTCATCTTGCGCTCCCCTTATTGCGTCTTTTAAAGAGCTATATACTCCCTAGATGCTACGATGGTACTCAAATTTTGATTCCGTAAACCATTGGTGAACTGTTTTATTGCAATACTTTCAAATGCTGCGTCATTACCATTGGTTTGCGAAATTGTGAGATCAACAAAAAGTGTTTCTAATTCTTCACCAAACTTTTCAAATGACCTGTCACCTTGTTTAACGCGCAATAATTTTGTTTGCAATGCAGTGTCCGATTTTCGTGTCAAAAAATGCTTTTTAATGATTTTGCACACTATCATAATTTGTAGACATCCGTATCTTTGCGCTGGGCAACAATCGCGTTTTTAAAACAAACTTTATTAAATAACGTTTGCCCTAAACATTAAGCATTGACTCGTACAATTCGATTGCGTGTATAAATTGTTTTGTAGTACATTCCTTCTTATTGTCCATAACAGACAACAAACTTACTGCCGTTTTTAAGTCAAAAGTGGCCATAGTTTTATTAGATTTTGTTTCTACGTCCGGAGGCAAAAAATTTAAAATTTCGGTATATAACATGCGTATTACTTATAAAATTTTGTATAAATGAAATTTCCTCACTACTAAACTTTACTTTTTATTCTTACTTGAAATTCTGCAGCTAATTCTTTAACCTTACTATAAATTAAGCTTGCTTCCTCTACTTTTGTGATTAAATTTTCACCCTTACGTCTCTCTGGACCTATTTTTATTAAATACGTTCTGATTTGCTTTAGCTCATTAAAATATTGAATTGCCTTGTTTGTGTCCATTTACTTATACATAAAGTAGAAAAGACAAATCTGTACCTATTACTTAATTATATCTTATGTATCTAGCATTTACCAAATTTTCTTCCATTACGCAGTTTGATTTTTTCCTTTTCACTAACACAACATTCA